GTTTAGGATGATAGACAAGTCCTTCAAGCTAATAGCACCAAAAGTAAACTTTTAAGGAAAAACAGGAAAATAGTCTTAAATAACCTATTAGTTAAGTCAATGAAATGTTTGCCTAAAGGGAATGTAAACAACTTATTAGAAGTAACATGTTCTGATTGGTCTTTAAATATATATTTGACATTGTTGCCTAGAAAACTAATTTTTAAATGAAAGGCAATTACGAGTAAATATAGAATGACTCTCGTATGCAATTATAATGATCTCGAAGTTAAACTATTATCACTAAAGCTCTTAAGTTAATATACCAAATCAAATTATATAATTTTTTTGTTTTGTTTTTTTTCCCTATGATTCTGTTCTGGAATAAAATAATCTATAGGAACAACGTGATATATTATCTAATTGAAGATATATTGAATATATTGAAATTTTGGCTCCTTAACATAATTATTAAGGACGTTCGAGGGCATTGCTACTGCGCACGCTTTCTGCGCACGCCCAAACCGGAAGTCGTCACGAAATTGCATCACGCAAAACAAAGATGGCGACCGCTCTTGTTATGTGTTTATGAGGTTTTGTACGTACTTTTCTGAACTTCTACTTGAATGAAAAATGTCTTCGTGTTCAAAAAATGAGAGATTTACTACTGCTAAAGAATTGATGAGGCGAAAAAGTGTTGAAAATGCTCTAAAAAGTCGTAGATTGGCAGAAAAAAGTCTCTCGCAATTCAAGATGGCCTGCAAAATCTAAGATTTCGACACGAAATATTTCGACAACGAACCCGGTAACCCCAATTTCTATTTATCTTAAAAGAAGGCTACTTGGAAAAAATATAACATATGTGAAAGCGGAAAAAACGACAACAGAGGTTTCTGAAATATAGCAGTTTTAGCTGGAAATGACACCTATTCTTGACGTCGAATGTGGCGGCCTTACACGAACAAAAGTCCTAAAGAAATCAAAAATCACATCATGTAATGTTTCAAAGTCTCGTAAACAATATTAACAATTATCGCCCTCAGCTTTTGTGGAAAAATTTGGATCAATTGATATGTGTTTTATATTTTTCGGGAAGTTTTTTGGTAGACGGCATCGACCCCTTTTCGCGCGCTTTTCTTTGACAATTTTGGTGATTTTGTGCAAGAATTATCTCTAAAATGAAGCCGGTGACCTCCACTTTTTTATCGCTTTTTTGCAAGTTTATGTCATCGCGTATTTCCCCAAAAAATTTCATCGAATTGACATCACGGAATCCAATGCCAATGAACGTCCTTAAG